TGTGTGCCACAAAGAAATATAAGGTTGCCTGAGAGAATGTAAATTCAGAAAAAGTATTCTGTAAGCTATTGTATATAATTATAAGTTGTTGTTCAGAAAATATCCTATAAGTTACTGTATAGTTATAAGCTGTTAAATTTGTATCCTTTCTAGATAGCAACATGGTGTCCAGAAGATCCAGGATGAACTCACAACACATGAGCATGAACCCTAATGGACTTCAGACCACTTTTCCTGCTCAAAGAACTGCTCCTGCTTCTTCTCCACTTCTGCCCTGTGCTGGAACACAACTTACACTGCTCTGTTCCGAGAGACTGCTGGGATGGACGATGGCTGCGATCTGGAAGAGAATGCGAGGATGGACGATGACTGGAATCTGGAAAGAGTCTGCCAGGATGGACAGTGACTTCAATCCGGATAAACAATTTTTTGTACAGAGACAAGTCTTGACTTCTTTCTATGAGTGTGGTAGGAAGTGGTATGGAATAAGGGGTGGAATGTTGTGGTTTGAGGCTTGGGGGCGGGACAGGCGACAACTAGGACCATGAGGGCCCCAGGGGGATCAGTTATTCCCTCCCCCTTCCTCTCCACACTCGATAGAGAGGCAGGAGGTGGGTGCTGCATGGGGGACAGCACAGTGGGGCCGCATCCACGCGGTTCTGAGCAATCCTGCGCCAGCTGAGATCGGGTTTTGTATAGCTTGTATTTACTTTGATTTCCCCCCATCTTTGTGTATATGTCTATATATCTGTATCTACCTCCCTTCTTGTTTTCTGTTCCCTGTTAAACAAGATACTTTATTTTTGTTAACTTCCAATCAGTGCAAAGTCTCTCTTACTCCTGCCTTGCCTTTTTTCTCCCTCCATCTTGGGGAAAACTAAGGGATAGGGAGGTGAAGCACAGATTCTGCTCTGTGGGGTCCAGCCTCGAGCCCTTAAATGAAGACACTCCCTCTCACTCCTCTCCTGCAGGATTGTGGTGAGGGCAAGGAAGGAAAGCAAGAAAACTCATGAATTGAGATAATAATAGTTTGATAACACAAGGAAAGCTGCATATACAAGCAAAGAAAAACAGGAATACATTCACTGCTTCCCATCAACAGGCAAATCTTTAGCTAGTTTATGGGAAGAAGTACCTCAACATGCACATCTGGTGCTCAGGAAGACCACTGTAATTATAAACATCTGCCCTGCCTCCTCCATGCTGAGCATAACATCAGATGGTATGGAACATCCCTCTAGTCAGTTCAGGCCAACTCTCTCATTCTGTCCCATTCCAACCTGTTGCTTACCCTAGCCTACTCACTTGGGAGGGTATGGGGAAGAAAAAGCCCTGAGAGAAAGCAAACAATGTTCAACAAGAGCAAAAAAAACCTGGTGTGTTACCAACAGTCTTAATCACAAATGCAAAGTGCAGTATTATGCAGACTGCCATGAAGAAGTTATTTCCATCCCAGCCAGACCCAGTACAATCTCAACCTCTTATTCCATACCATTCACATCATGATCAGGTCACACATTACCTGATACATCTAAATATCCTCTATCCTATTCAGACAATGTTTAATTTCTACACCCTACTCAAACTTTCCCATTCTACCCGTTTCTCACTCCTGAAATGCCTTCTTGCCAACACTTACAACTTGTATTACATCTTTACATCCAGAAGTCAGGTTTATACATCCTCATTAACCAGTATACCTTGTCCCTTGACTTATAACAGATATTATCCTCATGTTTCATGCTCCTACTCCCCCAAATGCCCATATGAACAGCCAGTGACTTTGTGCACATCTGTGAGGGAGATCACTCAGTACAAGTGAAACTGCACGTTGGATTGTTGAGCACCAAGACCTCTTGGGCTGGGTCAGTGCTGCACTTGCATGGTTCCTTGAAAGGCTCATCATCCATTGGTTCTGGTGATTCCTGCT